CTTTCAGTATGTAGCTGGGGAAACAACATGGGGTGTGGAGAGAAGAAGCCTGAGGTCAGACAGATCCCAGGGTGTGAAAATCTCATTTTTACATCAGCCACAGTACTGAGTTTCTCTGCTTCAATTTCCACCACACCAGGTTATTTTGAGGTTCTAATGAGATGACTGAGATAATGCACATGCACATAAGGTACAGAATTCACTCTGTGAGAGTCAGTTCTGTCTTCTCCCCTCAGGGGTTATGGGTATAAACAGAAATTATGTTTTTAGGCAAGGCTCCAGGTGATTAGCAACCTCCTCCCAAAGAAGCAAACCATCAATGGAATGTCAACAATGTTATAAAAATGACTCATGATGGTCTTAATAAATATATTCCCGTTAAGTCATCCAATTTTAAAATTATGTTCTGGGATCATAATTCACAAGGCAAATATGTTTGATATTCTCTACACATAGCACAGACATCAAACATGTATGTCTATCTCAGTTCTTTTTGTAAGCAGAGGAGAGAGCTAGGATTAGAGCGAGGAAAAAAGGATAAATTAGTTTTTCATTTACAAAATGAGGTTGGGATAGGTGAACAATATGAACTAGCCTAAAAATGATATAACTCTAAGATGCAAACAACAGGGGAAATATAATTCTGTTTCCTCTCCAACAGAAAAGCAGAGCTGTTGGGACAAGCCAATGGGAAGCGGAGCAGAGGTTAAATGAACCACATGCTGAGGTCTTCCGGGATCCCAATTTCAAAGCTCTTTGTTTATCAACCAGAAGTCAGATGCATCAAAACATTTTAATGGCACGACTGTGCAACACTGTACTATTAAATATATTATTGACAACAACATTTAAAATATAGGATGGTTTTACAAACTTGGGCATAGTGACAGGGTGTCACCACTTACTCCACTAGAAAAACAAGCTGATTTGCGAACTGCACATCGCCTGGTTACTGCTACAGATATACAGCAGATGGACATAGTGGGAAGCAATAATACCGCCATTCCTTGACTCTCTGGGATTCACTTGTTTTTTACCTTATAACAAACACGAGCCACAAACTTTACTAACACAAATATGAAACTATTAAGCATAAACATGTCTCTGAAACTGAATTTGAAATCAGCATATCAAGTCTCAGAATTATCCCTTCTTCTCTTTCTAAAAATTGGCATTTGTTAATCTGCCTCTCATAGAAGTGCTTGTTTAAGATGAAGATTCCCAGGTGTCCCACCCCAAATCTACTGAAATAGAATTTCTGGGCCAGGGGCCTGAGAACCTACATTTTAATAGATTCCCCAGGTGGATTCTTTTTATTTATTTATTTTTGGGCAGGGAGCTTATTATCAGATAAGGAGAAGGACAGGAAAAGCTCTCTGAACAGAAGGGGGTCCTGAGCAGGTAGCCTCTCAGATACATTCTTACGCATACATTGCCAAGCAATTTATGGTATGCTCCTCTCTTAATAAAATTAACACCTTAAAATGAGTTGCAAAAATAAGGCTTTGTATATATATATAGATGCACACACTATGTAGAAATTTACATATCTATACAAGGTTGCAAGGGGAAGGGACTAAACATATATTGCCTACTATTTTATAGGTCCCAATCCAATTATAATTACTCAATCTTCAAACTAATTTTATTTGAGTTATGAATGGAAAAAGTTGGAAAGAGGGTAACTTTTCTGAAGTCACAAGCCTGGAGAATGGCCCAGTGAGGTTGTGAAACTAGATTGATCTGACCCCAGTCTTTTCATTCCATTGTACTTAGTTCACATGCCCATGAAAATACACACATAGGCATGCGTGTGCGTGCACATGCACACACACACCCACACACACAAACTCAAGTCATATAATAGCTATATGGTAAAAGCAAAATAATTAGGTATTTTTAGAAACGTGAAGCAAGAACAATTTAGTTTTTAAAGAACTCATTCTTCAATGGATATTCTTTGGTTGGTCTGCTGAGAACAGAATGAAGGGTATGACTACTATCAAAACCACATTTAACAGTCTGAATTTTAGAAATCAGAAGTGTGTTGGGGGCTCGCTAGGGTCAAATTTAAAAGTGATTCTTGGTATGTGCAAGCTACTAAGTTTTGCAAATGAAACCATTTAATATTCATCCTACAAGTGGTATTATCTTACAAAGAAAAACTCCAACAAATGTGTGATCTCGCACTTGTCAATCCAATGGCCTTCCTGGGCCTCAGCCCTCCCATCTGACACTCTAAGCTCCTTCTACTGGGAAACCCCCTGCTGCTGGCTTCTGGAATCAAGTTCCCTTGTGGTTCGTCTTTGCTCTCTTGCCAGATTTCTTGTTAGGACCTTCCAAGACCCTTTTCTGTTTCTTATAAAGCTCTACCCTCAACATTTGCCTCGCTACATGCTCTCTCTGCAAAATTTCTTCTTCTACCTCTTCACTTTTTCTTATACCTGAATGATGCCCAAACTGGCCTAGACCTGGCATTCTTCTGGAGCACAAAGTCCCCTCTGTCTGGGGGACATCATAGAACAACACTTCAAATCTGGCACCTCTAAATTACTGCTCCTCATTTCCTTTCAAGTCTCCTACACAGGAACCACTGCTCTGGAAACCTGAGTTAGCCTTAGCTGATCTTTCCCTGATCGTTCCCTATGGGGATGTCAGGTTGTGTCATCTCTTTCCTTTGCTTCTGTCCCTTTTCCATTTTACCATCACCATTTCAGGCCTTTCCCTCCCTTTTCCTTGCTGGACTGTGGTGGTCTTCTAAGGGTGGCCCTGTCTGGTTTCTGCTCTACTTTTCTCCTAATCTCCCTTAACTCCTATGCATACCCACGACACCCCCCTGTTCAAGTATCTCCACTGACTCCTATTGGTCATTCAGAGTTCCTAGCTTGGCAGTGAAGACAATTCATTTGGCCCCAAATGTTCTCCAGATTTACTTCCCACTCAATGTCTATATAGACCAGTTCTAACTGGATTGGACTCACAAACTTTTCCTGAATATACTCCAGATTTTCTCTTTCCCCCCTCTATTTCTCCTATCTCAAATGTCTTCTCCCCTCTCTTCTATTGAAATTCCATATCGAACAAGGTCTTGCTTAAATGTTTTTTCTCAAGAAAGAAATCCCTTTACTTCTAAAGGTAAAAGGATTCTTCCTCGTCAAAGTACTATAATATATTTTTGGCATTTACCACATGATTATTTCTGCATATTTTATTTCCTCACCTATATAAACAGGTCTGAGAGGGAAGGGGTCACATCTTTTTTTGGTGAATCCTCCATTCTCTCTAGCACAATGTCATATTCCTGTAGGTATTCAATAAATATTTGCTATTTATAGAACTCCTACAAGTTTACAAAGCACGTTCACATGTCTGCTCTATTTGGAGCTTACATTTATGACAAATAGCATTTAAGACTTAGAATCTGATTTCTGTTGCTTAACGCAATTATTAGAACTTCTCTAACTTTGTACCTTGTAAATTAACATATCTCTTACACTGCTTTTCTTTTGAACACTCACTGTCCTCTATGGCTTATGGAGCTAAATGAAGAGAGCATTTTGAGTCAAACAAAGCCGCCATGCCATGCCAAACTGCTTTTTTCTTGCTTATAGGTTGAGTGTAGAAACAAAAGGCCTGTATGCATAGGTAATGGCAAAATAAAAATTTTAAAGAGAAGAAATTCCCTTCTGAAGACTTTAAGATTAAAAAAAGATTTTTCTACATACCCAGTTGGAATTCTACTTATGAGTCAATTCCCAATATTATTGGAACTGAGAGCATGTTAACAATAGAAAAGTTTTTAACAGCTGAACAAATGAATCCTTGCTAAAAGACTGAACATGACTAACATGATAAAAACCAAAATAATCTGTTTGGTTCTTTACATCCAAGGGCCTTGTAGGTGTTCAGTAATATTTGTTGAACGAGAAAAGAAATGAATGAATCTAGAGAAGGCCTTATTATTGCTTCTAAATTGAAAGTATAAGCTTTCATTGATGGATAGAAGTATAAGTTAAATTGGGGAAAAAAAAGAAAAAATTCATTAAAGATCAAGAACTTGGATACATCGGCTACTTGGGTCTCTTCCTGTGACAGGTCCCATTCTGACTGATGGAGAAGCAGATGAAGGAGAGAGGGGTGAATATCAGGCAACTGACCAGGCCACTTCTGAATTGAAATTGCAGCTTTTCAAGGGTAAGTACTTTGCCATGAACTCTGTGTTCCTAGCACTGTGCTCTGCATGCAGAATGTGCAATGTGGTGAGACACAAAGCTGCCCCTGGCCCCTCTGTATTTTCAGATTTCAATCCTTCACATCTATTCTTCCTTACCTCCCAGGGGTGCTGCAATTACATAAAAATACAGTACTTAAAATCCTTAACACGCTGCCTTGCACACACACACAAAAGTGCTTGATAAATGGTAGTTGTTATTATCACTGTCTGAAATTACGTATATACCTCAATGGTAGACTAGTGTGCTGGGCTGTGAGTACTTGTTTGCACAAACTGCAAGTACATGGGGTGGGCTCATCACACTTGTAAACTCAGTACCTCGCTTAGTGCTCGTCCCACGGTGAGCCTGAAGTTGGCCACATGACTGAGTAATTGAGATTCAAGTTCCAGTCCTGCCTCTACCCCTGCCCACTAGGTCGCCCAAAGAGTCATTCAGACTCTCTGGATCTCAGTGACACCTGTGGGCTCTTCCAGCCCAGAGGAGCTAAAGATCTAGGAAGAAACTTATACGAGCTCCGGCGACAGAAAACTGGCAGACTAAAAAGAGAAACCAATTGTCCCGAAGTTCTGCTCACTCAGTCCCTCCTTCATTATAGGGGCTTCCTTATCATGTCTCCTTAATAGCAGTTCATTTAAATGTCACTGTCACTTTGTCATCCCCAAACCTGGTGGGTTGCTAGCACAAATCATGTGCCTCTTGGCTCAGTCCCTCAGAAAAGCCACTTTCTATTTCATGTAGACTACGGAGAGACACACATTTAGTTACCTCAGTTAGAACAGAACAGCCTTAACAGAGTTAGTTTTTCGTGCTTTGGAAGAAATCACTTGGAAATTCTTGGTTCTGAGTCCTCCATCTCCTCCACATCAAGATCTAGGAAAAAAAAAAAAAGAAAAGAAAAGAAAGAGCTGTGTCTCATGACTAGCTGCCAGGATTTGATGTTTTAGCAACAATAGTAGATGCAATTAGCAAGCGTATGGAACATCTACTCTAAGTTGAGCACTGAGCAAAATGCCACGGGTGACCTCCTGTCCTCTTCATAATACCCCTCAGGTGCAGAAGACATTCCCCCATTTTACAGCTACACAGAAAGAGGCTCTGAGAGGTCATGGCAACTGTTCAAGGTCACACAGCTAGTATATGTTAGAGCTAGGATGTAAACACAGGTTCAACTGACTCCAAAGCCCCAATTATTAATCTGTAAATCTGCGTCTTTAAAATTTATGGCCATGACCCACTGTAATTGCATTATACATACTGAGACCCCCAAATCTCAAAACAAGGCTTACTCTTGCTATGCAAAATGCACTGATATTTTCTGCTCTATTCTTTTCTATATTGCATCATATATCTTTAAGAAAAAGTTATGGTAGCAACCCACTAAACTGATTCTACAATGTTCTAATGGGTCTCTACTCTTGTTGGGAAAACACTACACTTAGATATAGTACTTCACTAGAAGTTTCTCTGAAACCACAGACGAAATCCTCCTGTGCACTTTAATCATGAAAACCTGACCAAACAGTTGAGCATCATAATTAGAAGAAAAGTCTTAACCTTTAAAATATGTATAAGGCACCCGAATACCTATCATCAACAATACCTTTATGGGATAACCAATTATGGCTAAAGTCCAGAATGGAATAATCACTTACCTACAGCAGAACTGGAGTTATAAAGTGGAACCACGGACAGCCTAAAATCTCAGGTGTTTTATTACCTACCCTGCAAAGAAGTGGCTAACAGAGGGCGGTTGTGTTGTACCAACAGAGCAGACCTAACTACTGCAGAAGTAGGAGGCTGAGATTGCAAACCCCCGGGGGCAGGGCCCTGCCTTTGCACGTCCCATTCAATTCCAAGGGCTTGGTGCAGAACCAAGGAAATCATCAGGTTCCGGAAGGGTCAGGACTGGGGTCCAAGTCACTATCTTGGGGAGGGGACGCACCGGTGTCACGCAGTTCCGAAGCCCGCTAGACCTGAGCCCGCACGGCCCGAGCCCTCGGGTGCGCATTTCTCCCCAGCCACCCCCCCGCCCCGCCCCCGCCCTCGCCCTCGCCCTCCAGCACAGCCGGGTTCCCGGATCACTAGATGCGACGCAACCTGCCCCGACGCTGCAGTCGAACGCCCCCTGCCCCGCCAGGCCCGGGCCCCGCAGTCGGGGCACCTGCGGGCGCAGGGTTCCTGCAGCAGCTCGGCTTTCCAGCGCCAGCGGAGCTCACAGCGCTGCGCGAATGTTCCAGCCAGGTTTCCAGGCTCCCTCCTGGAGAGAGGGGTCAGGCTGGCGGCGCCCCGGGCTCTGCACCCGCAGGCCGTGCCTCGCCCACCCAGCCCCGCACACAGACCCTGCGAACGCACTTACGGGGTTCGACTCCGGCGCCAGTGCGTTCCCCCGGGGGTCCATGGCGCTTCCGGACCCGCGAGTCCGGCCGCTGCGCCGCACAGCACCGCCCAGAAAATGGACGCCGGCGGCTCGGCTCTGCCGGCCTGGCCCGCCCCCGGCGCGGGGCAGAGGACGCGGCCCGTCCGAAAGAGGTCGGCCGACCCCCAGCTCGCTGCCCCGGACGCTGGGGACCACGCCGCGCCCAGGACCAGGCCTCGGGAAGGCAGCGGCCGGACCCGGGGTGGGGGTGGGGGGCGCGCAAGGCCCCAGACCCTACCTGGATGCGACGGGGGTGGGGGCGGGGAACCCACGACGGCCCCGCCAGGCCCCAAACCCCACTGAGAGGGCAGTGGCCTCCGCTTTCACCTTCTCCCAGGAGAACAGAATTCGGAACCTGCAGGAAGACCAACCCAGTTAGGGGTCTACAGAGCCTACAGAGTAACGAACAGCAAGGCCGGGCCCCAAAAGGGCCCCTGGGTTTCAGATCCAGATTCCAGACAGTTTCCAAACCCTGCACATTCGAGGGAGGGGAGGCAGCGTTCAGAGAAAGTAAAGCAGTTTTAACTGAATCAAATTCTTAGCAATGGGGTGTCACCTGCGCTTTCCCATGCCTGTCAGCAGCGGCCTAGACTGATTTTCTGAACATGTTATAAAAGCTATTTTATGCAAAATACCTAGTCCTCCTTTTTTAAATGAAGAACACGGCCTGCTAGGATCTATCTTCCAAGAATCATTGAAAAAGTATTTACTGTGTCCTGCCACAAACTCGCTGTATGGCTCTAACAGAGCCTAGTGCACTAACACAAAGCTTTTGTCTGCTTGTTTTAAAAATAGAAGTTCTCTGTGTTTTGATAGTATGAGTCTTATATTAAAATTTACTTCAGAAAAGATTCACTCCCGGGCTATAATGTAGAAGGGTTAAAAAGTCTGTCTTTGACTTACATCCTGTTTTTAGCCTGCGATACAGTGTTTGCAATCCTGCTCCCCAGTTCCTGACTTTTTAAAATGTGATTAATTTCAATGAATAAAGTAGATTGCAACATTAAACACAAAATCAGTAAAACATTTTAAATAATCCAGGAAAAATATATTGACTTGAAATCACATTAAAGAATCATGTGATTTCAAAATCAAGGCAGGGTTTTGAAGGCTGGCAGGTTGGTGACATGCAGGCGCATGTCCACTAGCAGTTCCCAACTGCATCAAAGCCAAAACAGCCTTTATTCTTTCTCCATAGGCCACATGTTTAGAAAGATCTATCCCACTAAATTGCATTTATTAACTAATGACTCATCTTCCCACTTAAAAAAACAACAGCCTGCATGTTTTTGTATATGTAACTGCCAATCGGAGGGTCTTACAAAAACTGAGCTAACCCATCATTAAATATGGATTCCAACCTAAAGAAATTTGTGGTCTAACTTCAAGTTTATGTGTTTTTACTGGGGCTTTTAGAAACTGAAAATCACTTGGAGACTTTTCAAGAAAATTGAGGCACATGGATTAGGAGGCCTGGTCAGAAGGTGCCAGAATGAGGCAGTGCTCGCTCTCTGTGCTTCCCTGAGAGTGGGAAGGGGGAGGTGGCAGAGCAAGGCAATTTGGTCTTGGGACTCTGCCTGCCTGGGTATAAAGCCCAGCTTTGTCACTTGGAAGGCCACTCACTGTGTAACTGTAAGCAAGTAATTTAACCTCCGTGAGCTTGGGCTTCCTCATCTCCCTAAAATGGGGCTAATTTTTACCGTAAACATTTTGATAATGAAGTGGATAATAGAGATGAAGCGCCTACAGTAGTGACTAGTACACCGTAAGAATTCTGTAAGTGTAAGCTGTTGTGGCTGTTAGTGTTAAAAGTCTAATACTCAGAGCAAATTCCTAACATCCAAACACTGAGAATCAGCCACTGTGTGTAAAGCAACTTTTATACCCTAGAAATTTTCCATGGGTAAGCTGCCAGGGTCACATGGTGAGTGACATGAAGGGATTTAAACACAGGTCTGACTCCACAGTCCATTTTCTGTGCTGCTAACATGTTCCAGGTGGTACCTTGATCAGACGCTGTCAACAGCTTGTTAAGGGTGAAATCGGCTCTAGCTGTCCTAAGAGGCTTAGCAAGTGAATGGCTCCTTACATGCGCTTGGGACTTCACAAACAGTGGCATTTCTTTCTCATTAGAGCCAAATGTTTCTCCAGAAGTGAGTAGATTTCCCCAAATTGTTATTAAGAACTAAAATATCATGGCAACAGTTTTAAACACCACAGCCTAAAACTTACATAATCAGCCCGTCCTTCAAAATTTTCCACCCTTCCTCATAACCAGTCGCAGATTCTCTCTCTTAATCATTCTTCTGAGCATGGGGAACTATCTGGAAATTTCCAGAAATGTTCCAACTTGTCATAATTTTATTCTTTTCCGTAATTTTATTCTTTTTAAAAACAACTAAATGTGATATGTTTTTCTGTAACTTTTTGATACTTTTCATTTTAATACATTTGTAAATCAGGAGAAAAATCCTAACCTTTCAAAGATTGTTTCCTCTCTTAAATTTCTATTAGTACACAGCAGCCTCTTGATCTTTTTCTGGTGGCCTTACCTAGGAGGTGTTCCTCATTTCCTACCTCATGTCGCTACCTCATGTCGTTTAATCCCCACATGATTTCTATTACACGACAAGGACCTGCTTGAGCTGTCTGATTCTGGGCTGTTGGATTACTTAAATTTTACTGTCCCCCCACTTTCTTTCTTTTTAAGGTTTCGATATTATCTTTAATATATAGACTAATTTTGTTTCCTTTGTTTCCCACCACAACTTAGAATCTCATTTTGCGTCCTATACTTGCAGCATTTTGGTAATTTCTCGTTTTACTTTCCGTTCTCCCTCATCCTGGGCAATCACCAAATTCTATCACTTGGCCTCCCCTATTATGACTGTTACCTCTTTCTAGTGAAGCCATCAAGCATTTTAAGAAAGTCCCTATCCAAATCATTTTCTCTACATCTCTGAAAGGCCTCTTGTGATGCTTTGTGGAGAAGCCTGCTAAAGCCCCCAAAGAGGTGATAGGGGTGTACACTTCCAATTCCCTGGGCAGGCAGGAAGTAATGTGAACTGGGACCTACAGGATAATCATATTCCATCTAAATGAGTAGTGGAGGTGGTCAGTACCCTGCCCCAGACCAGTGGCTACTAGGTGGGAAGGCCAGGTCTGTTGAATTTTTAAATAAAGCCCAAATCAGGATTTCTATATAAAATCTATGAAATGCTGAATACTTAAAAAAAGAATCTGAATCTGATCAAGTCTCTACCTATAACTACCAATTTATTTTAGGTTGTGGGAAACTCTAATGTCAAACTGTTTTTTGTGGGTTTTTTTTTTTTTACATCAAACTGTTTTACAATTTTTTTTAGACCAATAGCAAGGATGATAGAGAGGCAAGGAAAACTAAAGATAAATGGAAAATTAAGGGAATAGTAACTGCAATCTGTGGACCTTATTT